GATTTCAGGACAGTAGGTGGCTCGTGTCTGGGGGCGTGAACGGATCGGGCGCTGTCGTCACAGCCGCAAGGCGGCATCCGCCCCAAGTGCTCACCCCCTAAGGCTGCAAAGGTCAGGAAGGCAGGGACCCTGTCAGACCCCCATACAAGGTTGTGTGAAGCACATCCCCTCTCCTTGACCATGCTCTCCACCTGGCCACTGTAACCTGAGGGATTTTTTTCCATAAGACTTTTCACGTCTTTTCTCTACTATATAAGAGAGTGAGTCTGTGTGTCAGTCTGTTTATTCAAGAACTGGTTGTGACTACAAAGGTCAGGAAGGCAGGGACCCTGTCAGACCCCCATACAAGGTTGTGTGAAGCACATCCCCTCTCCTTGACCATGCTCTCCACCTGGCCACTGTAACCTGAGGGATTTTTTTCCATAAGACTTTTCACGTCTTTTCTCTACTATATAAGAGAGTGAGTCTGTGTGTCAGTCTGTTTATTCAAGAACTGGTTGTGACTACTTTCTTCCACTATTTGATCTGAGGAAGTGGGTCTGGCCCACGAAAGCTCATCATCTAATAAACCATCTTGTTAGTCTTTAAAGTGCTACATTGTCCTGCATTTTGCTTCAGCTACCCCAGACTAACACGGCTACATTTCTATCACTTTCCTCCTGCACAGTGAGAGCTAGGATCGCCAAATTCAGTTAATAGCTAACTTAAACCAGGGTAAGTTCTTTTTTTTTTTTTTTTTTTTCCCCCATTGTGTCAGGAAAATGGAATGTGCCCGAAATGGGATTGCGTCTCATAAAACTGTACAGAAAAAAGAAACACACCAGGCAGGTGAAATGGGCTGGCTGGGGGCATTCCACCTCTCTACTCCTTTTTTCCCCCAGCATCCTTAAAGGAGGGTAGGGGACTGAAGATCCCCCCCGGAACATTGCTGGCTGTTCCCTTTGTCAGGGAACAAGGAGAAAGTGCATAGTTTTCTGCATTCTTCACTCTCCATCAAAGGCAGCAACGTGGGGCACAAGTAGCCCATCTATGTGGGGAGCTGGTTTTAAACTGGTTCCCCTTGTGGACTGGCATCTGCCTGGCACCCTGTGTTGCTGCTTCTGATGGAGAGTGAGAGTGAGGAATGCAGCAACTGCACTTTCCCCTTGCTCCCTAACAAAGGGAATAACCAGCAATGTGTCTGTGTGAATCAGGTGAGTGGGGGACCTTGGAGTGGGGTTTGAGCGCACTGGCTGCTGGCCTCACCCCTATAAAATAGTTGAGTAACCAATAGGAATTAATGCAGTTACTTATTCAGAATAGTGATAGAAATGTAGCCGTGTTAGTCTGGGGTAGTTGAAGCAAAATGCAGGACAATGTAGCACTTTAAAGACTAACAAGATGGTTTATTAGATGATGAGCTTTCGTGGGCCAGACCCACTTTATTCAGTTAACTGATACCTAACATCTCTAATATGACATTTGCAAGCAGGTAGTGTCTAGCCATCCAGCAAGTCTGTTGATATTAAATCCAGGAACAGTAAAACAATTGGCTAATCTTTTCAACCGTGTACTGGCTTTCTGATGTTGAATAAAGCACAAGAATTGCAACGGCTGTGCTGTATAAATATAATCCATTTTGGTTTTCAGCCTTTATTGATGGAAGGATTACCTCAGCATTCTTTCACTTTTTAACTCACGTGAAGAGGTAGGGACAGCGGGACTCACACCCACAGAATGTATCTGCAAACTTCGCAGAGAACAGTGTCTCTTCCTTGTAGTATGTAAGACAGCTCTATGTTAAACAACTTTGCTGTCATATGCATAAGTTTCGTGGGTTAGGAGTTGTACCAATTATGACAGGGCTGTTCACTTGACATTACTCCTGGGCAAAATAATGAACAGCTATATGGAACTCAGTTAATAAAGAAAGATGTGTAATAATGCCAATCAGCATGGCTACGTCTACACTGGCCCCTTCTTCGGAAGGGGCATGCTAATTTTGAACTTGGGAATAGGGAAATCCGCGGGGGATTTAAATATCTCCCGCGGGATTTAAATAAACATGGCCACCGCTTTTTTTCTGGCTTGGAAAAAGCTGGAAAAAAAGCGGCGGC